GGAGAAGGGGAAAAATAGAGAAAACTACCAGGTGCTGGTGGCTCATGCCTGTAATCCAGCTACTCAGGAGGCTGATCTGAGGATCATGGTTCAAAGCCAGCCTGGACAGGAAATTCTGTGAGACTCTTATCTCCAACAAACTACTCAGAAAAAGCTACAAGTGGCTCTGTGGCTCAAGTGGTAGAGTACTAGCCTTGAGTAAAAGAAGCTCAGGCAGGTCTGGTAATGTGGCTTAATGGTAGAGTGCTTGTCTAGTATGTATGAAGTATTAGGTTTGATTCCTCAGCACCACATACACAGAAAAAGCTGGAAGTTGTGCTGTGGCTGAAGTGGTAGAATGCTAGCTTTGAGCAAAAGAAGCTCCAAGACAGTGCCCAGGCCAAAAAAAGAGAAAACTTAAGTTTGGGTATAAAATTAGCATAATGAAAAAAATTAGCTTCCAAACCCTTTAGGAATTTTCAAAGGTAGCCAGCTGCTTCTTCTGAGCCTTTAGTTTCTTCTGAGGTTTTAGTTTCTTTAGTTTCTTTTGTCTTATTTAATTACTAGTGTTGTAATAGTCTTTGTTTTCGGCTTTCAGTTAGCAAACATTGCAGCATGTTTAATATTTCAGTCACACTATAAGTGTAGTTAGTTTTTAGATAGCTGGTCTGCAATCCTTATCACTCTATGTAAAGTTGCTTCTGGGGAGAGAACAAATGATTTGTGAAGCCATTTTTAAATAATAAAGTAAAGTAGACTGGTAATTTGTGGATTTTACCTATTAGCATGTCAGCCTGATAGAACTGTGGTGATTTGGACAATCTGAATGTTGTTGTTATGAGTTTTCTTTACTTTACAGAACAGAGGACAACGCAGCAAGGTCAGGTATATTTCTTACATACTCAGACTGGTGTGAGCACATGGCACGATCCAAGAGTGCCTAGGTAAGAACATGTTTTAAGAACTCTATGCATGCTCATTTTATTTTATTTATTTTATTTTTAAGAGTTTTTTAAATTTTTATTTATTTATTTATTTATTATTGTGAAAATACCATAGAGAGGGGTTACAATTACATGGGCAAGTCATTTTATTTTTTAAAATATTTAACTTTAGAAATAATTTTAAAGGGGCCAGGAATGTGGCTTAGTGGTAGAGTGCTTGCCTAGCATGCATGAAGCCCTGGGTTTTATTCCTCAGTACCACATACACAGAAAAAGCCACAAGTGGTACTATGGCTCAAGTGGCAGAGTGCTAGCCTTGAGCAAAAGAAGCTTAGGGACAGTAGTCAGGCCCTGAGTTCAAGCCCCAGTACTGGCAAAAATAAATAAATAAATATAATTATTATAAAAGTTGATCTCTTTCTGATAGTTTAGTTTGATATTTAGCAGAAAGTCCTATGTACCTTTCTGTAGTCTGCCCCAGTTCCCTGTCAGTCTCCAGTCCATGTCCCCTCATCACCATTTAAAAAGGTAGGTCAAAACAGAGCTTTAGGAATTTGAAGATTAACCTAGGGGAAAAAAAAACATATAAAACAATACTCTTTCATAAAGGCCTCCATCAGTGGTAAAGTACTTGATTGGGTCAGATCTCTAGCACCACAAAATAAATAAGTAAATAAGATAATAAATAAGTAAATAAAATAGTAGAGGTCAGGCATAGTGGTGCATGACTAACTTCAGCACTCAGGAGAAGCTCTTGGGAGGTAAAGAATCTTGAGTTTGAGGTCATCCTGGGGGAATGGGAAGCTGGGAAGCTGGTGGCTCACACCTGTAATCCTAGCTATTAAGGAAGATGAGATTTTAGGATTGAGGTTCAAAGCCAGCCTGGGCAGGAAAATCCATGAGACTCTTATCTCATTTTATCACCCCAAAAAGCTGTAAGTGGAACTGTGGTTTACGTGGTAGAGCATCAGGCTTGATAAAAAAAAAAAAGCTCAGGAACAGTATTCGGGTCCTCAGTTCAACCCCCAAGACCAGCAGAAAAGAAAAAAAAAATAGATGCCCGTGGTTCATGCCCATAATCCTAGTTATTCAAAAGTCTGAGATCTGAGGATCTTGGTTCAAAGCCAGCCAGGCAGGAAAAAGTCTATGATAACTCTTATCTCCAATTAAATCACAGAAAAAGTTGGAAGTGGTGCTATGGCTCAGAGGTAGAGTGCTAGCCTTGAGCAAAAGAAGCTCAGGGACAGGGCTCAGGTCGAGTTCAAGCCTCAGGACCAGCCTCCCATCCTCCCCCCAAAAAAGACATGTGATTGTTTTCAGGATCAGAATTTCAATAACATTTCTAGTTTTGCTTTTTTGAAGAACATAAAATTACTCGTGGAATGCACATTTATTTACACAGATTTCATGATCTAGAAAACAGAATTGAAGGGAAATTTTAGAAAACATTTAATTCTTTGTATTACTGGCACTTGTAAAATTATATTTTCTGTCAAACATTGTGTTGGCAAATGCTGTGATGGCTTTTATATTAATTTAAAATCTATATTACATCAAAGCTCAGGAACTTACCAAATTGTCGACTGTGTGATAAATTCTTCCTAACCATTTATGGATTGGGTTTTGAATATGCGAGTTTGTTAAACCATTGGGAATTAAAGATTCCAGCTGAACATCTCAAGTTCCTGAAACAATACATTTTCTCAGACTTCATGAAATTGTTCTGTGTCATTTATACTTGCTTGGCTCAGCAGGCCCAGCCATGAGGTATTTTTTATTTTATATTTGTTTTTGCAGGGATCTTAGCAACATCAATTGTGAAGAGCTTGGTCCTTTGCCTCCTGGATGGGAGATCCGTAATACTGCAACAGGCAGAGTTTATTTCGTTGACCATAACAACAGAACAACACAGTTTACCGATCCTCGACTCTCTGCTAACTTGCATTTAGTTCTAAAGTAAGTTTTTTAAACACTACATGTTAAATGTCAGTCTGAACAAGAGAAAATATATAACTTTTTTTATAATAAATATTATACTTGAACTTATACTTTTTGACCAGACTTGATGTAAGAGTGTGACAAATTTTACTCTGACATAGGATTTTTTGAATCTCACCATGCTTAAAAAGAAACCAGCTCTAAAATGTTAGTAGAAGTGTGTGTTGAAAGTGCTTACGTGAGAGGGCATTTCACAGAGGGGAGAACTTGACACATGAGAATTTGAGATTGAACAGGAGATTGCAAGATAACTATTACTAGTAGCTAACATGTCAGTAGCATTTACTGTGTGATAAGTGTCTTTGTACTTTGCATAGATTAGAAACTTCCTCATCAGGAAAACTGAGGTACTTTACTGCCATTTGTGCAGATGAGTAAACTAAAGTGTTGAGGTTGACTTTTCTCTGGGTTGTGTGGCAGGAAGTGGCCAAGTCTAGATTCATAATCAGATAACCCTGACTTTAGTCTGCTGTTAACCACTATACTGAGCTTCCTTTTCTTTTTTTTTAAGCTGCCTAGTGTTTTTGTAACTTCATTGTTTACTGATACTGCCTTCTGAGAGGAGGGTACAGGGAGAAAGAGAAAAAAAGAAAATGTCGTTACTAAGCAATGTAGCAGAGAGAGAGAGAGAGACAGAGACAGACAGAGACAGAGAATGTGTGTGCGCGTGTGCGTGTGTGCTTTGATCCTGGGATTAAACTCAGGACCTGCACAGAGCCACAGTACCACTTCTGGCCCTTTTGGTGGTTAATTGGAAATAAGTGTCTTACAGACTTTCCTGCCTGTGCTGGCTTCAAACAATAATCATCAGATCTCAGCCTCCTGAGTAGCTAGGATTATAGGAATGAACCACTGATGCTGGGCTACTGAATTGCTTTCTTTTATTACATATTAATTTGCATGTTTTTGTTTTAGATAAATAGAGTGTTCTTGCTTTTTTGTTTTTTTTTTCTGAACCTAACATAATTTTGAGATCATCTTTATGACTTATGTGTAGTTTCTTTTTATTGCTAGTGGTATTTCATTATATGGATGTACTATAATTTATCCATTTATCTATTTGATGTTCATTTGGATTGTTTCTGGTGTTTGGTTATGACAGATAAAACTATTATGAACATTCTTTGTATGTGTAGATGTATTTTCTCATTACTTGTGAATAAATACCTAAGGAGTAGAATGGCTGATTTGTGTATCTCTTTCCCTCCTCCTCTCCCTCTTCTTCCTTCCTTCTTTCCTTCCTCTCTTTTTTTTTTGTGGGGGGGTCTGGTCATAGGGCCTGAACTCTGGGCCTGGGTGCTATCCCTCAGCTCTTCAGCTCAAGGCTAGCACTCTACCACTT